ATATACCTGGATGATTAAAACAATGATAAATCCAGATGAAATTAAGCATTCTGGAGGAAAGTAATTTCGGTAGCCCAATTATTTAAGCAGGCCGCCTTCTTAAGTGATGATATACACCTTAGAAATAATTAACCGCCAGTAAAATTCAACAATTCAGTAATTTTTCTTGTATTATGGTAATCACTGTTGGCCTATTTAATGTGTCAAAAAGTCTCATACAAAATCCAAAGATACAAAAAATCATTTACCTACTATGTAGTATGTCACATGTGAGGAAGTCTATTATACTTTGTAACAAGTAATTTCCTTTCACAGGATTACATATCGTATAACTATGAAAGCATTCATGTCATTTGGACAAAAAGTCAGTTTAAGTAGGTTGAACATGTATTTGAATGTTATTCACCAAGCTGTTAGTTGTTGTTTATCTTTGTTTAACATATTGGTCTTTATTTACTTTTGTAATTAATAAATTTTTATTTAAGTCATTTCTTATTCGTGTGCTCTTATTATAGACAAATAAACTGTTCGAATGTAAAGGAATTCATCGATTTTAAGGTGAAGCATTTTTCCTTGCCCTCTCAGAACAAGGCGATAAATACAAAAATTAGTTGAATTCTGATTTTTATTCTCATCTACTTGTTTTTAAAATCACTAGCAAAATTTTGCTGATAAGTTATCTGTACACAAACAAATTTCAACTCGCTTTATATTTATGTCACATTCATGCTGATTATACTATACTATACAAATCTTATTTATGTAGCCCCTGTTTTGTTAACTAGTTTGTTTTTTGCTGTTTACGACTGCATTATTTAACACACTTATTGTTATTTGAGTTTTGCTAAAGTCAATAGGCCTTTACTGAATCAAGGATAAAGAAACTAACTCCTGACAATCAGTAATCAAAAACTCCTCTACTAATGTATAAAGAGATTTGTCTCTAAGAGAACTATAAAGACAATAAGAATCATATCAGTTTATAAAATCAATACTATTACTTGCATGACACACCTAATTTAGCTTAGAACACTTCTATCATATGTCCTATTACCTCGATCACTTCACAGAAATGTTTAAAACTAATGATAATAACATGCATCTGTACACATTGACCAAAATCGTTTGGCCAATTGTGTTATTTAGGCATTGAGCTATGGGATAATTCTTCCGGTAAAGTATGTTAGGATTCAATCAGTGGAAATTTCTGTTTAACACAGATGAAATGATTCCAGATACCTATCGTTATGCCTTAGCATAATGTTGAAGAAATACATATTTCACTTAAAAATGGAGGTTAAATGTCACAATTAGAATTCTAGACTTCACTACACCTTAGAAATTAAATGTTATGATATTCACTTATTAAGCTCCTGTTTGAAACAAAGTTATTTTATAGACATTTGGAAGTGTAGGGTTGAGACGTTTGTTAAACAACTGGATTAAGTGATCTCACATGTCTCTACGCATTTATCGAACAAAGCATAGAATGGCACTCAAATCTCTCGGTCTTAACTTCATCGACTTCGAAAAGGCCTTCGACAGCGCAGCGTTGACCGAGTAGCAATTTGGAAACTACTTCAACACAATGGCGTACAACACCCCAGATTTTTATCAACCTCATTCAACAACTGACAATATGACAATGCCCATGTGTCAAGTGATCCACAACGGAAACCTCAAAGAGGCATTCAAAGTGCATAGAGGAGTAAGACAAGGCTGCCTGCCTATTAATACAGATGATATTACTAACTGTTGTGGACTGGATTATGCTTCAGACTATGCGAGGGTATGAAAAGACAGGAATACTTTGAAGTGGCGGATAATGAGACTATAGAAGATCGGGATTTCGCATGTGAATGACTTATGTTTAATGTCAAACTCGAAGACTTACAGGTGAAAAGCAGCAGACTTGCTGAAGAAGGTAGCAGTGAAGACAGGACTGCAGGTAAACATGGAGAAAAAGTAGGTGATGATGATAATCAAACAACAGTGACAACAAATAGCACCATTCATCTTCAGTAGGAGAAATTCGAAAGAGTTTACCTCATTTACTCACTTAGGAAGTATCGTTTCAGCTAAGGCAGTCAGAACGGATGAAGATATCAAAGCAGGTAGGAATCAGAAAGGCAAGATACGCCTTCATCAGCCTGAAACCAGTTTGGAAATCTTCTGAACTCAGAATGTCACAAAAAGCATTTCCGACAATTGCAGACCTTTATCAACAACTGCCTCCTTTTCTAGCTCCATACTGAAGATCAAATGGCCAGCCGGTCAGAAGGAATTCGCAACAAGAAACTCTGGCAACAAACCAACTGAATAGAAGCCAATTTCTCAACAAATATGTGGGAGAAAATGGAGAAGGATTGGGCATACGTTGAGGAGACTGTCGAATTACATCGTGTTCCAGGTTAACACTCAAGTGGTATCCCAATGGGAAGTCACGAGTGGGTCGTCACTACGAGGGTGACATGGAGGAGATCATGGGGTGAGTAGGAGATGAGAGATTATGGGCAATCATGGACCCTGTTGAATAGGACAACAGAAAAATAGTACAAAAAGGAGATTTGCTGTTGAAGCCCTATATTCCACTCAGAACTCCAGGAATAATGTTAATTAATAAGCTTACATGGCCACACACCGTGGTCTTCTGTACTGAGTGAAGTAGTTTTAGGTCGGGTATCACCTAAAGACTATTAAATGAAAACGGCATTAATGCATTATCTTTAGATATTTTGTTGATTCTCATGAGAAGTTTTGACTAGTCGATATCTTGAGACATTCAGTGAAATCAGTCACAGAGCATTGGATGCACCTGCATCATACTTTGCTTCAAATATTATTTTCATACTCTTTGGAATTTTCGCATCACCTCTCCTTACTGTCTAAATTCAGCAGTTATTATCAGGCATTCTCTCCTAAATATTTGAAGGTTTGAAAATGTACTGATCAAGACGTTCTAGTCACCAAACAAACTAGCCCCTAGGTCACCATACCTAGATTAGAGGAATTCATTGCCTATCTTATAAGGAACACCTGGATTTGAAAGAGTTGCTATCTTAGTTTTTTCGATTAGATCTTTAATTATTAAGGACGAAGAGATATGCAGGGGGAAACTGGTTTTGCAACTGGGAGGGTAACTTAAGTTTACACACACTCATGAGTTTATAAAATTGAGCACCTGTGTTTTGCATTCTCTTCTCAGTTATGAAAAGCGTTTACAGTCTTCTGGTTTTGTCAGTGCTAGTTAGGTAATTCCAAATAATTTGATGATGTTTCTCTGTCTCTCTCATTTATCAGAAGCAAATGTTTCGAAACCAATAAATAAAAAGGTAAGAGATTATTTCTGAATTCAGATTCGATTCGGCAAATAAGAATATTTGCTTTCCGTTACATAAGTGAATTCACTAACAAAAAGTTTTAAAATAGGTGTTTGTTTCCTTACTCTGATTATCGGTCAAGAAAAAGAGTAACAACGTGAAAAGAAACATTACTAAACAGTGTTTTCAAAATTAATCATTGGGAAACTTTTTTCCCAGAACCACGGATTAAAGCTTCTTTGAAGTTATTTCACATCGTTGTAATGCATCTTTGCTTGTAAAGAAGTATGAGGAAGACCATGAATCGATTCCCGGGCACAGAATTATTATTGATGAAATAAAGTATAATTATATTTTAATAGTTTACACACAATGATAAGTTTTGTTATTGGTGATGACTTCTTACAGCTAGAAAAAGTCAGATAGGAAAATACTGATGCTAAATATACGTTGGGCTAAGATCAGAAAGCTTGTCGTTAAATGTTACCAATGGAAATTGTAATTCCAGTGTTCGTTGGTGCTTAAAACAATAATAACAGTTGTAGTAACAAAGGATTCGTTTACAGAAGACATACATTCCATCCACTAGCCGTCTAGACACATCTTGTGTATGAAAGCTAGTTAGGTTAGAGTTGATAATACCATAATTAGATATAAAATCAATTGATTCAAAGTCGTGTGTATATATCTCAACCACAGCTGTATGTGATAAATTATTTGATGATGTAAGCTATAACTTTAATACATGCTCACAAAGTAGACGTCAAAATATGCATAATTCTAAAATTACATCTATTTTCTCATTAATTCCGCCTAATCCTTGATCCAAAACATCGAAATGAGCAGTTTTACACAGGTACCTGGCGTTTTTTCAGTCATAATTCGTTCATATACAAATTGAAAACCTTAGGTGGTTGCTACTAATCTGGAAAAAATATTAGTTATCTGACATTGAAAAAAACCCTACTAATTTCATTAAAATGTCAAGCTTTCCCTTGTCTTGCCTTCCTGTAAAGCAATTTGATGTCGAAATGTATTCCCATACTATAACATTTTCCCCTTTAATTTGTCCAGTAACGTGGTAATCCTTTTCCTCATTATATTTAATAAACTGAAAATGCGTATTTTCTCCTCTTATCTTTCATCAACAGGTATTGGCATTTTCCATTTATTACGTTTTATTGTGTCAGCTAATTTATCACAATTAGAAATCTTTACAAGAAACCCAGTGGATCTTTCAGTCATTTATAGAAAATATCACAATTTTTGTTTTACTTATGCTTTTATTTCTTTTCTAGCTTGAACTATAAAATCTCATGTCACTTGATATTTTATTTCATACTATCCACCTATTTTGAAAGATATTTCATGTCAAATAAAAGTTTCAAATAACCATCCAGCCCACAGAGATATTAATAGTAGTTGCGATGGTAGTTGTGTTCAATAGTAGGTTATATCAACAATAAGTTTTGCAAAACAAATAATTAAAAAAGATTGGAAATGACTCAGTGTGACTAGAAAAATTATTAGAACATTTAGTATTTAACGATAAATACTAATAGTCGTACTATGTTAAATTGATTTTACTGACTGGAGGACTTGTAAAGTATGGTTCTTCGTCTTTTGACAATTACCATTATTCTGGAGACAAGAATCATTTTCTTAAATGATGAATACCACACCATTATCGGGTAGAATACGCATGCATATAGACCAAAGCAAATCTGATTGGGTGTTTAAATTTGACCAATCCAAAATTAGTATGGCTGAAAGGGCAAATAAATATTGTAAGTTCACGTTAATTACGTGAAATATGCAAAAGCTGAATTCGTTAATTGTGGTTATTAAGTGTCTCATATACTAAAGTAGTCCTGTACAAATCTTTAAGATTCTGAACGAAAGTTATCTGACTAGAAATTGTTTAATTGACTGATATGTTCCGTTTGCAAATATTGACGGAAGGAATTATAATTAAAATAAAAACTTCTAACGTGATATTCTAATACTCAACACTGATTCGGATTTATTTATTGTCCTGCATAACATTCATTTGTGATCCTGTCCTTTCAATGGATTCTTAGTTATTTCTTCTGATACGTGAGTCTACGGTTTTTTAAAAGTTATATTTCCCGCAAGAGTTTTCCTTTGGTTAACGGTTGAATTCATGGGGATTCAATCTGTGAATATTTTAGGCGGACGCAGTGTTGTAATCAAGGCACCTTGTTTTTTCTTAAATTTTAAATGCATATGATTTGCATTTTCATTAATAAGCAATCGTTTCACTGCACAAGGCCGCACTAGACATAGAAATATGTGTTATTCAAAAAAGAATTACTGATAACTTTCCAACTTTTAATCCTTAGAATGCTACAGAAGAATAGTACCCTAGTTTGTTTTCTGAAAGAATATCAGTTGTATGTTACCAATTATAACTTTATACCCTGTAAAGGTAGTTTAAGAAGAACCAAACAAATAGTTTTAATATCTTCAGAAAGTAATTCATTTTTCTTGTGCATTTTTCTTCACTGGTAGGAAACCTATTTTTTCTAGGGATTTCAAATAAACATGTAAATAGATATTTACAGTTGTATTCAACACACATTAGGATAACCAGATACATTACAGAATGTCTATTTGACCTACAACTAAAATCCAGTGATTGGGTGTCTCTCCTTGTAACACGGATGTCCCAGATCAATCTACCATGGGGTTCGTGAGTCACTATGTTCCAAACACCTGAGTGCTGTAATTGCTGATGGAAAGAATCTGACTACTTCATAATATATATATATATATATTAATATACGTTATGTATGTCCAAACTAAGATCATATTTGGTAGTTAGAATCAGACCACAGAAGTCATTTTGGCAATATTGGAAAAATCTAGAAGAATTTCAGAAATCATGGAGAACCTCTCATACAACTAGTACTTTATATTAAACCGTCTGAATAGACATGATTGATTCACACGAAGTTTGACCTGGTTCCAGCACCCTATCTCAACACTGATAAAATCAACAGAAATTTGATAAGCGATTTCACTGCGTAAACACATGCTATTTTTATAATTTCGTACACGTATCACGTCCAAAAGTCTGAACTTGGTTTATCACCTTTGCTAATTCACCCACTTGATACCGTAGAAATTATCTCATGCTGAATAACTGCGAATAAGTTAGTGTACATAAGCTGCTGTTTTATAAGTTCTAGTTCTTTATTCGTTTGACGAAGAAGCATCATTTTGTTTTTTCATTCATTGGTAAATATAAAAACTTTTACAATGATGTACATAAGAATAATCGGTTGATAATCGATCATGAAAACCAATTAGAAAAGCACTCATCTCAAGAATGCAACACTGACAAATAAGTACTGAAAGTAACCGGCCTTTTACTACTAAGTGTCTAGCGCTTAGAGTTAATTTCGACTTTTGATAACCAGATAATTTATCTAAGCTATGTTGAAAGCTTTTAAAAGAATCTCATTATACTACTCACTGCTGTTTAAGGTTGTGCAACTCTATTAGTTTTCACTGAAAGTGTATATTTAACATAAAATTCTCATTATTTAGAACAAAATATCAAATACTGTATTAAATTACCTCGACATATGATTTGCTATATACCTGTACTAACTACCCTAACCGAAGACAAGAGTAAGAAGCCATCATTCAAACGCAACTTACACGAAGGTTCTACTGACAGGTAATGCGAATTCAGTCTATGTAATTACTTATTGGTGCGTCGGTGGCACAGTGGTTAGGACTCTCGCCGACCATGCACATGGTTCGGGGTTCGATCCCCTACCGACGCACACCTGATATCAATGGTCGGCCTGCAGAATTTGGGCTACCGATATCACATGCTGAAAATTCCATACTTGTACCAAAAATACGGTGTGGAATCAAGCTGTAATCAAAAATTAAAAAAATAAAATAAATTAGTGCCCTCTTAATCAAACATCTTCTGTTGTATTAGCCTTGCATTTTCATTGTCCGTCTTTTTTGATTGCATACTAGTCAGTAACTAGTGTAATGTGTCTAGTCCTATCTTCACTGCAGACTGAATTCTATCAGTCAAGTCTGCAATGTCGCCACCACCATGCTAGGTGGCTCGCCATTACGGTGTGCTGTGAATTGTTGGTATTAGATGGTTGGAAGCAATCGGCCACAGGAAGCCTTGGACCTAGATTTCAGTGGTAACGTCTCTGACTGCAGAAGTGGGTGACGCAGGTCCGAATCTCAGAAGGGACATGGGTTCCTTCAAGGTTGAAGATACGCCTTGCTGATGAGTGCCAACTAGCACGAAACCTAGGTCCAAGGCTTCCTGTGGCCGATTGCCTCCAACCATCTAATAGCAACAATTCACAGTTGTCCGTCTTTCTCCAGTTATTAGTACAAAGTCCTAAATACATTTATTGCCTAACCTAATGCATAGTCAGTGAATGTAAAATAAAATGAAACTATCGGAAAACTCTAGACAATATTTTGTCTTAGTTATATATAAAAGCTATTCATGAGTACATTTTAATAACCAACGAAATGTCAGTAAAAAATTTGAGCATTGTGGATTAGATCAAATAAAGTATAATTATATTTCAATAGTTTACACACAATGATAAGTTTTGTTATTGGTAATATTTCGAGCAAAATTACTGCCCGTGTTCACACCACTGTTGGAATTGTTTTATTGCTCGAAATATTACCAATAACAAAACTTATCATTGTGTGCAAACAATTAAAACATAATTATACTTTATTTCAACGAAATGTCGTTATGAAGGAAAAAGAACTGCCTTTTTAATCATCTCAGTCTACCTCAATATTCACTAGCGATTGAAAATTTGGATAAAATGTTTGGTTGTACAACAACTTATCACATAATATTCTTATATCTAATTTTTTCTTCACTCCATAATGACTGAATACTTAAACTGGAACTTCATATCTTCTTTTACTTAATCTTATTATTATCATCAGACAACAACAACGCCACAAGTTGTTAATCCATATACTAATTCTCACCACATTTTTCTTCCATGCATTCATATCAGAATGTGTTTGCTGACATCACTTCTGATTATGTCACAATATTATAATCTATAAACTATTCGCAAATTTTCCCTATTTAACTAAACTGTTATCACATATAACATGAGTGATTATCAGTGCTAACAGTTTTCATTCTGATTGTTTTTGAGATAACTATCCACATGTGATAAGCTGGGGGAAAAAAGCATAATTCTCTAGTTATCTAGTAAATTCGATTTTCATTTATCATAACTGAAAATTCTGAATGACTATTATAAATAAATGGTCCATTAAACTAGATAACGTCTTATCAATGTATTTGAGACGTTGCTAGAGTGACGTAACAAGAAACAACTAAATAAGTCAACCCACTCTTAAACGATGACATCAAGGAAGAGTGTGTGTGTGTGTGTGTGTGTCTATATGTACAAATAAAAAAAACAACCGTAAGGCACGTTTAAAGGCTTGTCAAACAAGGGATTGTAATTTAATCATATAAGATCAGAGGGGGGTATAATCCCTAAAAAGTTAAACTAAATCATATTTGTGATTCAGCTTTGACTGTGCAAACCGATGTCTACAATTTCAATATCACTGGACATTGTCATGCTTATTCAATATGTCGGTATTGTTTTCCAGGTGATGTTTTGAGTATAAATTATTCCTCAAAAGTACAAATACTATATAAATCGAATTAGTATAGAAGTATACTGAGTTAGAGTCATTGTAGTTTACGCCATAGTGTGAATTACAAGTTTGTACTAGGCTCCCTTGATTCTAGTTTTGAAAGTACAATAGTGCTATTAACCTTTTCAGAGTGTATCTAAGATGCATATGGGGATAAACTGCTGGACTGTACCACATAAACAGCATTTAGTCTGGGAAACATAAGTGACCCCTCAAAAACACGTGGTTATTCTGTATTAATACGTGAGTAACTAAGTCGGTGGCACAGTGGTTAGGACTCTCGCCGACCATGCACATGGTCCGGGGTTCGAGCCCACGCCGACGCACACCTGATATCTCTGGTCGGCCTGCGAAATTTGGGCTACCGATATCCATGCTGAAAATTCCATACTTGTACCAAAAATACAGTGTGGAATCAAGCTGTAAATCAAAAAAAAAAGTCATTTCATGAATTTAGAAACCTACAAAAATGTAATAAATGGTAGATTTCTATTCTTTTAAGTAGTCGTAAGCGATGTGGTTTCAATTAAAGAGCCATTCTTTAAAATATGAAACACGGAACGGCACTGAAAATGTCGAAATATTTACACAAACAATTTCAAATGTTTAATAACACAGGATTTTGTTACCTTCTCAACATGAAGTATTTTCATAACTATCTGTCATCGAAAGTAGTTTATTTTCTGAAATTATTCTCTATAAATAGATTTTTTGTTTTTCAGCACTCATTTTTCAGTGAATTGCAGTAAAAAATAATAAATAATGTTAAGTTGAAATCTACAACAAAAGTCCACAAGTAAATAGTGATAGTACCTCAGTTTTCACATAAGAAATCTCAGTAGTCCTTTAAACTTTCTGAATAAAATCATTCTGTCCATTTTGTTGTTCTCAAGATAAAGTTTATGAAATACAGAACCCATCAATTTCAGCTTTGCATGACCCAGTATATTCAGAGTTTTACTTTCATTAGAGCATTTGCTTCGAATGACGTTAACATACGTCATTTGTTCACCTGTATTACAATCAAATTTGTAGATGTCTATGAGCGTACGCTTAATTTTCTACGATATCATTCCTGTCAAAATGCTTTTTGAGACAATTAATTGAAATAATTCATTTTTCGTTGATGGCATCGATCAATACAAGTGTATATGAGTACCTGTCTGAGTGGTGTTATCAACTAACAAAAAACACTCCGGTTAATATGACATGTATGATACTTGTGTCATAAAAGAGTGTATAGTCATGTTATTTGATAAGTACCTTATCTACTCTACTACTCTTCATCTCTAGTTACTTGTTCAACTCACTACGCTATTAATTTCAACAGATATTTTATTTTTGACAGTACTTACATTGTGCTGAGTGAAAGTGCTTTG